CGGCGGTGTCGGCGTTACTTGTTCGACCAAACAAGACAACAAGGGCGAGAGGGCGAGGGGCAACACGAAACACTAGCGCCGCGTGTCGTCATGTTTTCGGTCTGCCCCCTACATTGACATCCCGTACACTCTCCCGCCACCGGAAAGTATACCAATCCTATCTCGTTGGAAAGTCCACACATCCCATATTGTTGAAATGTAGGTGATGCTACATCTATCTCTGGGACAGGCATTTTGACAGCGCAAATAAGTGCCATCCCTCTTACAAGATATATCTTTCCTCGGGAAAATGAGCCGCACGTTGAGAAACAAAGGACCCCAGTGACACGGGTCTATCGCGTGCATCCATCACTATTTGAATCAATATGGATTCCTTACGTGTGGTAAGCCGCGGGCAACACCCGTCTCGAACGAAAAAATACAACAGTCGACATGAAGCGGAAATCAGATCTCGCATGAGACGACCGGAAATCTGCTAGTAAAATGTATACGCAGGCTTGATGGGTGTCATCAAATATCAATCAGGGGTGGGGAGCGGCGGGGATGCGTGAGCGCTTAAGGCACACCACGGTGCCCCTCTCGCTTGTTGTCATACAAGAAAACATCCTCCCGTTCTTGTCATGTAGAAGTACAATACTGTATCCCCCCCCTGTCGCGCGATAAATTCACGACTTCGTGTGCTACAGTGTACGAGATCATCCATCCTAGTGTGGCTTCTTGGGTGACGGGCATGGGACGAGCTGCAACACAGAAACACAGTGAAAGCGATGGCGCCGTTGTGTGAGAGCGGGTGCATCAACTGCCTGACGTAACGTCAGACCCATTTTCATTATGTCCCTCAGGGTCAACTCGTTCGGTTCGCGGGAAGAGTCGCCCCGATGCTTGTCTAGATCTGGGGGACGGGACGTCTGCTTGCTGGGTGTGCTTGGCATTTATAGTGGCTGCCGGCTGCTGCATTTCTTGAGAGCCACGAGCGCGAGAGCATTCGATCAGCAGCCGACACGAAGCGTAGGCAGCACGGGGGCAGCATCGGCAGCGTGCATGTTCTTGGTGATACTACACTTTACTGGGTTAACTGAAAAAAACCAGGTCCGTTTGAAGTGTTTCTTTCGAATGCAAACAGAGATTCAGAGACAGAACAGCAGATTGGGCACCGTTTAAAAAAACAGGACGGTGCGCCATCTCTCAGCGTCCATGCATGGGCTACCAGCGAGGATTAAGGATGTAGGGTGTGGCAGTGAACAACAACGAAGAGTGTTGCTTCCGCGCGACTAGATCTATTCGGTGAACAGCAGTCGATAACAGCTGGAAAGCAGTCAACTGTCTCTTCAAACAGCATGCACAGCCAACTACCAGCCCGATCGAAGCAGCTCGAAGACTTTACCACGTAGTGGGGGCGACAGGCCGCGAGGCCGCGACGTTGAACTGTCAAAACCTCTCGGCAGGACTTAGGTCTGTCCATAACGCGGCCGGATGCTTGGGCTAAAAGTAGAGAGGCAGACAACGTAGTTGTAGCGACTGAGTACAGGAGCTGTGCGTGGACACAGCAGCCGCGGTGAGTGGGCACAGCAGCTGTAGTGAGTGCACGAGTTCGTAATCGCTTCCTCCTCCATCCTTACTACTACCAAAACATTTGTACTTCGCAAGAATTATCACCAAGGTCAGACACGGTGGAAACCTCAACATCAGTTTTAGAATGACGGCATAAGCCAATGCGGCCGCTCCGCACAACCCACGTGGCCCATGTCCGACCTCTTGGCGTTCAGAGGGAGGGAGTCCCAAAACATGCCAGATGTACGAAGCGCGGGTACCTAGCCGTTTGTCTCAACACACAAAAAACATGCACACTTCGCTTGACGGATGTACGAAAAAGGACAAGAGGTGCGGGTCGAATGAACATTGCTGTAGGCGACTACTGTTCGCGGGGGTGGGGATGTATGCCGGCTATTCGCCACTACAAGTGCCGCTGCAGGCGTGGAAAGCGCAAGTGAACCGAGGGAAAAGGGACTGAACGACAGAACCATCGGCGTGTTAAGAGTTAAGAATTGAAGGACTACCACAAGGGGAAAGGTGAAGAAAAACGGAAAACACAACAATTCAGTGTTTTGCGCCAGTTTATTAACACCTTCTATCCGACAGGTGTGCAGACTGCCGCCCGGATTAGGTGGGACGACGACACAAAAACAAGCAGCAGTGCCCGGTCGCGTGTGTAGCAGCGTAGCAGTACCGACAACGCATGATGAAGGCATTTGCTCTTGTAACGTTGTTTCGCACGCAAAATTGAAAAAACTCATTTCAAGCCTACCCCTGTGGACAGTACTCTGCACAACCCCGCGAGCAGGGAGGAATCTTTCGAATGCACGCGCCCTCTCGACAAAAGATAGCAAATGCGAACGTACACCGCTTCCCTCAACTGAGATGCGCGTACCCTCCCAGTAAATTCGACGCACATGTACATTAGATGACGGCGGTGCTGTTTCTGTCGTGTGCATAGAGATGTTCTTGAGAAAAACCATCATTCGTCGACGTTTGCCTGCTGCCGCCAAAACTGCGACTCAATCCCAGGAGTTGCGCGCTAGCCACCTACACACGGCACGGCAAACCCTACACTTCGCACCTTTTCGCCACAGCAGCACCTTGGTCTTGCTCTCCTCCCTCGCAACCCTCCTCGCCCGAAGCTGCTGCTGCTGCAGGTGGAGACACAGGGGACCGACTAATCACTCCTTCAACAACCCCTTCCCCCTCGGTCAGAGCTCCGCCTTCCCCCCCGTCGTCGCCCTCACCCCCCGCCATCACCAGCGTGCTTCCCCTCCCGTTCCTACTGCCACGGCGGCTGGACAGCGCCGGCGCCGCTGCACACCGGCGGGATGACAGTCGCGTGCTGCAAGCGAACGCTGCTGCCGACGTCGTCACGCCACCGCCGCCGCCGCCGTGTTGTCGATCATGCCCGCCGCCGCCGCCGCGCGCAGTAGCGGCGAGTGCTGCTGGTGGTAACGCCAGAAACGCATCGGAGCGAGGCGCGGAGGCCAGGAGCGCGCTGGTGAACGCCGAGAGGATGGTCACGCCTCGAGGCACTGGTCGTGGCCGCCGCTGGTGCTGCTGTTGCCTCGACGAGGAGGGCGTCATATTATTTGATTTGCTGGACCAGCACCCGTTGAGGTGGCGCTTGGTTAACGGCAACACCACCCTGCAGACTTCCCCTCTCCTCCACGACGAGCTAAGCTTACACAAGGCCCCGGATCTCTCCTGTGCCCTCTTTCACGCCCTTCACCGTCGTAGCTATATCTGTGCGATGTGGCAAAGTGGCAAAGCAATGACTGGGGCCACGCAACTGGGATATACCTCACAGTACCGCACAGTACTGTACTACTAATTACCGGGGCTCCGTGGCTCCGTGAGTGTGTCTGGAACAAAGCGTAAGAGAGGCGGAGCGAGAGCGTCATTAGTCATCCTACACACAAGCTGGCTGGTTTGTACGTGTACCGTTCTTAACGGCCACCTCTACTGCTTCATGGCATCGCTTGGGGGGCGTCCATGGGGCAAGGGCGTGAAGGGTCCGGTGGTGGTGGCTGTGGTGGTGTTGGCGGTTGCTGTATGGAAGGTGAGTGCACGCGGCAATTCTCGTCAAGGCAGAGAGATACAGACACAAACGATCTTTTCGGGTGATTTTTGTCGTTGTGTGTGTTTGCGTATGCGTAGGCGTCGTGGCGGGCAGAGAGGCCTGCCGTCGATGTCGCTCACGGAAGCCTTCCCTGTGATGGCAAGGGGTCGTTCTATCTGTGCGTTGTCCGCGTTGATGGGGGTGGTCAGGACCCATGCTACCTCTGTGGACGTTGGTTGGAGCCCTTTCGGACTCGCGTGATTTGTCGGCCATTGTGTCTCAGCTGCTTACGTAGAGGAGCTAAGGTCGCCAGTTGTGCCCCCTGCTAAGGTCTTGAGGAGGAGGAGGAGGAGGAG